CCTCATTCAAGGATGCTATATTCTTCTTCCACTAAGTGATTTCCCCAGAGGGACTTTGCTTTGTGGGTTTTCTTTTTATTCCCATAGCTGAAGAATCCATTTGACAGAATATGGAAGTAACAAAAAACTGAGAGAGTAGTACGCTCTGTGGAAGAGAGCCATGGTGAGCCTGTTCTAGGGAAAATGGGGAGGATTCAGCATGGTTTCAATACAAGGGCACCCACTACTGTGTGTCAGGCCTATGCCAACACTACCCTCTAGTGGCTAATCAGGTTTCTTACCATGCTCCACAATAAAAGTTTGAAATAAATATTTAGTTGTATATTTTTCTTTTCTTTCAAATCATTGTTTCTTAATCTTGGATGTGCATTCAAATCATCTTCAAGAGCTCATTAAAACACAGATTTCTGGGTCCTCTAAGGTAGCCTAGGGGTTAAGTCTCAGGACTATTACCATTATAACCTAATTCCTATTTCTGGCCAATCCTCTTCTCACCACCTTCTCACCTCACACATCTGGCCTACATCCCAGTTCTTTGATACAAAAAAAAAAAAAAAAAAGATTGATAAGCACCAACCCCAAAATCTCTGGATCTGTGTAGGTCTAAGAATTGTATTTTTCACAAGTTCCTGAGTGATTCTGTTACTTCTGGTCTTTGATACAAAAAAAAAAAAAAAAAAAGATTGATAAGCACCAACCCCAAAATCTCTGGATCTGTGTAGGTCTAAGAATTGTATTTTTCACAAGTTCCTGAGTGATTCTGTTACTTCTGGTCCAAGCACCACAACCATGAACTTTTGTCCTAGGCTAAAACAATCTATAATAAACAAGTTTTTAGCCTCAAAAACCCCTAGCAGTGGTGGGGAGCAATTATTCTCTTATTCTCACAAATAGGACTATCTCAGAACACAGAGTACAGAAAAAGTGACTTACCCACAAATCTGCCAACGATTTATTTTAAGGATCAACAATGAGCTAGTTTATTCAAATATCTATGGTGATGTTTGGGTGAATCAGTCACCATTTATGATTTTTGTTAGTTACATTTAAGAGAAAGTATCTATGTTTTGTCTCCCTTGCCTAGATCAGACAACTACAGAGTGATAATGAACAGTTAGGGTAAGATTTTTGGTAAAAAAAAAAATCTTACATGTGAAAAACCATTTTGAGAACTGTTTCCCAAGGTGACAAGCATTTTAAAAATAGTTTTGATACCAGGCCTATTTCCAGGTATTTGGCTATTAGTGTGTTTTATGGAGGCAAGATTAAGATAAAATTCTTTTGGAAGCTAAACTAAGTGAGGGCGAAGATGAGAGATAATGTTTTCACAGAAAAGGCCGGAAAACAAATGAAAAACGCAGGAGCAACAAAAGCATCCCTAGCACTCACATTATAAACCCCAAAATACCACTTCATACTTTTAACGGCCAGGGGCTTGTTTGAGAAATCACTGTTGCCAGGTTTTGGGCAGAAATTATACCTTGAAGAAAAAAATGCAACTTTTCCATTTTTGTCTTATTTCCAGTTGAAGGTAATTAGAGTGGGGAATTTAAAATTAAAATAAATAAAACACCATTGTCCAACGAGTTCTATTACCTGTAACTCATTCAAATGCAAGAAACTGGCTGATAAATTTCCACTGGTTCATTTAAGTAAGCTGCTATGAAATCATATCAAGAAAACCATTGATAACTTAGTAAATCTCATCTAAGAACAATCTTAAAGCTAGATGTATAATAAAACAAATAAATGAAGTCTAGGTTGCTTCATCACTTCTAAAGAAGTGTTCAGAACCAGCATCTGATTTACAATAGAACACAAACAAGAAACCTATCATTGTAGAATCAATCTGCTAAGCTATAAAAATTAGACCCACGGCCCTCCCTAGTGGCAGAGAGGGTTAAAGCACTGCACTGACAAGCTTAAGCCACTTCTGTATGAGTTCGATTCCTGCCTGCCCCGGAGGTGACCACATGGTGTGGCAGACCTCTCCTGACCCCTCCTCCGCTGCTCCCCTCAGCAGTGTACTTCGTCGATCTGCCTGTTCTGCTCCCCACTGTCTCTGGTGAAGCCTCTCACCACTTCTGTACCCCAGCTCTGTATGCACAAATAAACATTTTTTTAAAAATCCAGACTCAATTGTACTCTACCCATAAGAACCCCATTTTAATTAAATAACTACATTGACAGTGAAAGGACTGAAAGGCATCTATCTATACATGCAAACATTTATCAAAAGGAACCTATGGTAACTATATCAACATAAGATAAAAATTAGGTTTCAGAACAAACAATATTACCAGGAATAAAGAGGGATCATTCACCAAGACAGAGCAATGAAAAACATACACATGATAACAGATCTCCAAACTACATGAAACAAAATCTAAACTGAAGGAAGAAATAAATCTACATAACTACATAGTCAACACGCAACTCTCAAAAATAATTAGAACAAGTATATATAATAAAATCAGTAAGTATATAGAAAACCTAGATAATATTATTATCTAGCTTAACTGACATTAATAACAGTACATAATCACAGCATCATAAACATTATTTCAAGTAGCCACAGAACCCTATGAAAAGTCATATACAGAATCCTAAAGAACTCTGACAGACATAAATTTAAAATTTAAAAATGCCAGGGCCTCCCTGGTGGCACAAGGGGTAAAAGCACAGCACTATGAAGTTGCCCAGCCACTACAGCATGAGTTCAATCCCTTGCCAGGGAGGTGACCCACATGGCATAGCAGACCTCTTGGTCTGGTCTGTTGCTCCCTCAGCAGTATACTTCAGTCAATCTGCCTGTTCTGTTCCATACTCTGTCTTTGGTGAATCCTCTCATCCTCTGCACCTCTGGCCTGTACCCCAGTTTTTATATGCATAAATAAATAAATCTTTAAAAAATTAAAGATGCTGGGCCCTCCCTGGTGGCGCAGCAGGTTAAAGCACTGCACTAAGAAGCTGAAACCACTTCCGCATGAGTTCGATTCCCGCCTGCCCTGGAGGTGACCACATGGCAAGACAGACCTCTCCTGACCCGCCCGCTGCTCCCCTCAGCAGTGTACTTCGTCAATCTGCCTGTTCTGCTCCCCACTCTGTCTCTGGTGAAGTCTTTCGCCAACCCTGAGTCTCTGGCCTGTACCCGAGTTCTGTATGCACAAATCTTTAAAAAAAAAAAATTAAAGATGCCTTCTGAATATAACAAAATTAAACTAAAAATTAATACAGAGAGCTCTCTGGAAAAATTTCGGAAGTATTAAGAAATTAAACAATATACTTATAAGTCACCCATGGGTAAAAGAGGAATTCACAAGGGAAATTATAATATATTTTAATTATATAATAAATAACTATAAAATAATATCAAAAGCTTGTTTGAAATAGCTAAAATTATTAGAGGCACTTTTACAATTTTAAATGCTTATTTAAAGAAAGAAGAAATGCTTCAAATTAATGATCAAAACTACTACCATAAGGAGCTAGAAAAAAGCAAATTAACTCAAAATAAACAGATGAATAGATATAAAGATGAGCAGAAATTCAAAACATAAAAGTTGAAAAAATATCTATGAATACCAAATTTGAATCTTTAGAAAAGATCAATACAATTCCATATAGACTCATCAAGGGAAATATGAGAGAGAGAGAGAGAGAACACAAATCACCAATATAAGGAGTGAAAGAAGAGACATGACACTAGATCCTACAGACATTAGAAGAATAAGGTAAAATCAGAATTTTAACTCCACTAATTTGACAACAGATAAAATAAAAATACCTTGAGAGATAAATTACAAAAGCTTACCTGAGAAAAAAACTGATATTCAAAGAGTACTGTATCTTTTTCAAGAAAGGAACTTAAGGAATTGAATTTCTAGTTAAACATCTGATAAAACTCCAGACTCAGAAATTTTATCAAACACTAGAGAGTAAACTATATAAATTCTACACAAGTTATTCTAGAAAATAAAACAACGGAATACTACTTCCCATTTCATCTTAGGAAGTCAGCATAATCTCAATTTAAAACCAGGAAAAAATCATCACAAGCAAACTACACACCATAAACCCAAATACCATCGATGCAAGTCTGATCCAGCAATATAAGCACAGCAAACCCCATCCCTTTTTTTTTTTTTAAAGATTTATTTATTCATAATACAGAATTGTGGTACAGGCCAAAAGTGCAGGGGAGGTAGGAAGATTCACCAGAGTGGGGAGCAGAACAGGCAGACTGACAAAGTACACTGCTGAGGGGAGCAGCAGGTGAGACAGGAGAGGTCTGCTGTGCCATGTGGATCACCTGGGGGGAGGGATGGGGATTGAACTCATGCTGCAGTGGCTTCAGCTTCTCAGTGCTGTGCTTTAACCCGCTGCGCCACCAGAGAGGGCCCTGCACCACCAGGAAGGGCCCAAATCCCTTTTAAAAGATTTAATCCGTGTTTTGATCCTGACTTGATAGTACTCCCAAAGACAAATGTTATCTAATTCCATTCTAATTTTATTAACTGAATTCATTTTCTTAGAGTTAATACCACTTTACATTGTTGTCTGCTCTATAAAACTGTAGGATTTCCCCCCTTTACATGTTGTTTGTAGAACCAAAGGAAACCATAGTCCATCACCAAAGACAGAACCTTGTGCTCCCTCCCCTATTAATTAAGTCTTGATTGAAACACAGAATTAGCTTACCTAACTTTACAAAGCTACTTACAGCGAAAGGCACAACAGGTCATTTAATACAGGAAACTAAGTGGTAGATTATACTGCAATTGAGACATTACAGAACAAATTATCTATAGCTTCATGAATACACACTCAACTAAAGGTTAATGAGCCCACACCTCTCCTTGGTTTCAAACAACAAAAAAAAATTTATAGAATAGTTACCAGCCTACACTAAAAAAAATCAATTTAGTTCCCTAAATGATGACCCAAAGTATAATCCCTAGTCTACCTTCTGAACAATTATATTTGCCTTAAATACTTACCTTCAATCTGGCTAGTATCTGAGCATGATTTCTTCTTTGACTCTGAATTCCCAGTTTTTTCATCAACATCCAGAAGAGGAATATAGTCTGTTTTCCCAACAGTTTCTCCCACAACATCATCAAAGGCCTCTGCTTCCAGTGTGGCAATAAAGTCCCGTTTTATCTCTTCCTCAATTTCTGGAGGTGGGTCTGTTAATGCATCTGTAAGACTGAGGTCAGCCATTCTGCACCACTGTAATTGCCTGGTAAAGGGGGGGGAAAGACATTTCACTGGGGTGAGCACTGCAAAGAGGAAAACATTCCTAAAAACCCTTATCAATTATTTTAAAAAGAAATAAGTAAAAGTTTAGAATAGAAGAGTCTCCCTTATTTTACAGAAAATTAAAGTTCAGGATTAGATAGGAATATGAGAAAAAAAAAACACGATTTTTTTCACATGTGAGAGGCAAAACAAATCAAAAGCCACTTTGTTCTTTTCTTAATAAGAAAAATTAAATATCAGAAATTAAGTTATCCAAGGTTACAGAAACTAAGATCCTTCCCATTGAATCTGCATTTCTAAATACCATGTATTAATTTTTAAAAAGAATATGCAAAAGAGGTCAGATTATATTATAGTTCCATTAAAAAAAAAGTTATATTGCTATCAGGCAAATGAAATTGCCTTTCTTGATAAAAGTCTGTGAGTATGAGCCTTACATTACTTCATGAACCACCTATGAATAGTTCCATCAATCAAATTATAAATTATAACACTACCCTGCAGGCATGGTAAAATACAGACAAAATACTGATTTAGCTAGGGGAGGTGGTTGCTCTCTGTGATCATATACATTCTCATCTTCACAGAACATCAGGCTCTTGGTTTGTCAATATAATCTGCAGCTATGAAGTATGATCTACAATAGGTAAAATTTCAGGTGAACAGCCAAGAAAATACAGAAATGATCTAATGGAGAAAACCAAAGGGCCCACAATAAATTGAGATTCTGATACATACACAGCACAGTAGGAAATAAAAAAAAAAGTGCCCTTTCTATCTTGAAAGAACAGAATTTTAATAGCCACCTCAAGAGACAAAGTTAAATGAAATAAGATCTTGGTTTCTGGGCCAAGAAAACATAAATCAAACACAATTCTTAAGTTGCGTAATATAAAGGCTACTGCTTCTGTCCTCCCATAATTTTATTTTACCTTTCTCCCACCTCCATATATCCTATTACCTATCCCCATAGTAAAGTTAGGCACATGACTGGAACTTTGCTAATTAGAAAACAGGAGGGAATGCTTGGACCAAGACATTTTCATTAGATCTACAACCTGGAAGGAACACCAATGAGTGGCAATTATTCACACAGCCAATAAACAATGTCTATAATTGTCTTTTTTCTCAAGTCAAAGTGAGTGACATTTCAATAAATTTTTCTTCTGCCAATTTATTTAACATATTTCTGTCAAAGAATCACAACTAATATACACTTTCTTTCCCCAACCCAAATGATTTTTTTTTAATTACTACAAAAGTTTATTTTTATATCATTTTGCACATTTTTTTTTCCATCTCGATTGTAATCCCCGCAGGTTTCCCATCACCAAATCACCCGTGTGCCACCACCATAGTTCCATGCATTTCCCACCCTTCCCCCGCCCCAAATGTCTCTGGTATATGGTTGTTCATTATTTTTGTTATTTTCTCGCCTGGTCCATTATACTCCTGCTATGAGTGAAACCATCTGGTATTTTTCTTTCTCTTTCTGGCTTATCTCACTAAGCATGATCTTTTCCAGCTCCATCCAAGTTGCTGCAAAAGACATGTGTTTCTCTTTTTTGGTTGCTGAGTAATATTCCATTGTATATATGTACCACATCTTTTTTATCCAGTCATCTACTTTTGGGCATTTGGGCTGCTTCCATGTTTTTCCAATTGTAAATAAAGCAGCAATAAACATGGGGGTACAAGTATATTTTTCAATCAGTGTTTTTGTATCTTTTGGGTAGATACCTAGGAGTGCCCCAACCCAAATGATTTTTTAAAGTAAAAATTCACTTAATAGTCAGGCTCTTCCAGTGTCAACCTCTCCAGCAAATTTTCTTTTTTTAAAGATTTATTTATTTATGCATATAAGAACTGGGATTACAGGTCAGAGGTGTGGATGAGAGGGTTCACCAGAGAAAGAGTGGGGAGCAGAGCAGGCAGATCAAGAAGGTACACTGCTGAGAGAAGCAGTGGGCAAGACAGGAGAGGTCTGCTGTACCATGTGGGTCACCTCCCTGGACAGGGAGCAAGCTCGTGCTGCAGTGACTGTGGACAGCTTCACAGTGCTGTACTTTAACACACTGTGATGGCACCAGGGAGGGCCATCCAACAAATTTTCTTAGGAAACACACCGCAAGGAATATTGTCCTTCTACCTTCATCTCTGTCTCCACACACTTCCCACTCTCACTAACACTAGCTTGTGTTACAAATATGAAAATCACAGGCCTTTTTCAAGCATTTCTTTTTCATTTTCACTAGAGGACCCAGCTTCAAGGCTACCAAAATCATAAAATGTATACAAATAGTTCTAGAACCTTGAAAAATCATGCTAGCCTATTCCAATTCCAGTGTACAAAGGCCCTATGTACTGATGGACTATTTTTCAGTAATGACTGTCATACTGGACATTCATGAACAATGCTGGTGACTAATAGCTGGTTTTGCATAAGCTGGAAACCTTAATAAGATTGTCTCTTAAGACTGCACACTAAAATCTGTGCCACCATAGATATGGTGGTATAAAAATCAAGAGGGGATTGTACAGGGTGGTCCCCAGGAAAAAGGGGGTTCCAGGTTCCCTGTCCCACCCAAAGAAGAGTGGGGTTGAGCAGGAAGGAGAAGAATCTGGACAGGAGACTGAAGAGGAAGGAAGCAGGATGGAGAGCCAGGAGACCTGAGGAAGAACCATGGACCGAAGAAACATGGAGCAGAGACACATATGAAGTGCTCTTGTTTCTTGAACTGGACTGGTTGAAACAGATGTGAAAGAGACCTGTGGGAAGATTAACTATGGTAGCATTTATCTTGATTTTGACTTTGCTCTTTTCCTCCCAGACTTGTTTGGCCATTTCTGATCCTTTTCCTGGTCCCTACTAGAAGGTCCTTTACACTTGCGGCTCACTTTGCTTTGAGCCAATCCCTTTTGGATAGCTTTTACCCACGAGGTGATGGATAACTTTGGATGTCTAGTTTAGAAACTATATTGCTTTCTCTGTATTGTGCACTAATTGTACTAAAGTTCCTTTCCATTAAAGGTCTTATGTTTTGTCTCGATGAGGCGGATGGCAGAGCAGTTCAGGGATGCCCTTTACCCTGCCCTGTAACAGACTGAGTTCTATCCCCGGCCAGGGGGGTGACCCATATGGCCCAGCAGACCTATCCTGTCATTCCCTGCTCCCCTCAGCAGTGTACTTCGTCAATCTGCCTGTTCTGTCTCTGGTGAATCCTCCCACCTCCTCTGCACCTCTGGCCTGTAACCCAGTTCTGTATGCATAAATAAATAAGTCTTTAAAAAAAAAAAACAGGAATACATTTTTAAACCTAATTTATCTGAGTGCAGATCCTTCAAGGGCAGCTTTTAATCCGCTGTAATCTTGTCCCTCCTCCCTTACGTTACTAGACCATTTCCTAAGCAGACATATGTGGCTCATGGACTATGACTAGTGGCTTAAATTCAGACTAAAGATAAAATGGATAGAAAATTATAAAACTGAGAAGTGACAAAGTGACTTGGCTGTGACTGCACCTAACCAACTGCCCAGCATCTGAATTTAACAGTTTAGCTATTCTTATCACCACATATAAATAGAAGGATGATTTAAACACACACACACACACACACAAACTCTACTTATAAAAAATGACCCTAAAAAGGCAAATTTATAGTGTTGTGTTGGAAGTGAAAACACTGGCCTTTAGCCAGAAAGCTTCAGTTACCAATATATTAAAGAGAAGATTACCCAATTTTACCCAGTCTATTCTAAAACATGCATAAGTATAATAAACTTCTTAAGTTCATTTGTTAAACTGGTTCTGCAAGCCTTCCAGAAATGATTTTAATAAATTTATAAAATGAGTATCACCTCACATCTTATAAAACCACTATGGTCATTTAATATTCATTTATGCCTTAAAACATTTACTTATGTGTTTTATGGACAAAGGATATGATACAGTACTATTTTCAAATCTGGATTATTCCAAAAAGCAAAAAATGTACCCATGTAAATGAGCACTATTTACTTTTTTAAAAATGACCTCTCAATCATTATACTATTCATCTTCTATTCATAGATAATTAAGAACGTTAACTTTAAATGGATTTGTTAAGAGAACGCAAGAAAGCGGGGCACAGTTTCCACCCTTCAGTGAAGCACATATGACTATGAGTCACTTTTCCAGGGTGAATTCCCTAATCTTAAAATAAGAGCAGTCTGTTAAATGATTTCTAATGTTGGTAATTCTATAAGCTAATTATAATTCTGTTTCATCTTTAAGTTAAAAGTAAATGAACTTCATACAGCTCCTCAATGTGAATGTGACTAATATTTTATGCAGCAAGTACTCTCGAGTATAACTAGATTCAGTTTTATTAAAAGATAAAGGCTTTTTGGCAAATAGACAGATTGAAAACAAATTCATGAACGTACAGTATCCTGCTTAAGCAAATCTAACTGGAGGTTAAGAAACTCTACCCAGTTCTGAATAACATCAAAAGAGACTTGATACTAGTATGTCAGAAAATAAGCTCCATATTATTTAACAAAGCACCAGAGAACAGAGTTTCCAATCACAGCATTTTGAAATTGCATCTTTCATTCTGAGCCCACGTCTAAAGTGAAATATCTGGTACAAGAGGGTTGAAAATAAATAAACTAAGGCAAGAGGAAACATGACAAGATGACGAAGCATAGAATAGAATCTTGACTTCTTACTATTAATAGCTATGTACTCATAAAGGGTAAATAAGAATATATGATGAATTCACAAACACCTTCTCTGCTGTATGGTTGCTTTAGATAAGAACACAAACTAATTACTGAACTGAAAGTATTTTTCAGGTGTATACATTAGTATTCATACCAAATTTAAATGTACAAATATATAGGCCATGTTTTAAGTTCCAAGAAGTCCTCCTGAAAATTTTAGGCCTCATCTGTAGTCATTCACTTGGAGTCTGTGTTCACAAACAAGTTTACAAATG